GGCAGTCTAGTGAACCCTATGGATCCCTTTTCAGAATGTTTTTAAACGCATAAAATAAAACACAAAAGAAACAAAAAAAAGTTCATGGACCTTAGTTAAGAACCTCTGGCATAAAGTAAAATCAAAGATTCCATTACCATTACTTCAAGACTATGAAGTATACTTAAAATACATTTATTTTAACGATTCTAGAAATCTGGCCACCCACCATCAATTATATAGTAAACACAATCACTACAAACTGCCAAGAAAAATCTGAGACAAAAGATGAAGGAAAGGATTACACTAGGTAGGTGACAGCTGGCACAAAAGAGATATGGTGAAGTAGAACTCAGCTATAAAAAGACTGGTAAAACTGGAAAGGGGAGGGAGAAAATGAGGGAGTAAAAATGAAGAAAATGGAAGGGAGAGTGTGAACATTGTAGATTTTCCCTTGTAGCAAAAATAAAATTGTTTAATTTTACATATCATACATATTAAAAAAAATACTGACATGAAAAATAAATTAAGATTAACTGAGCTAATTCACTGGATTTCTTACCTAAGCTTTCTCTGTGTACTTCAAGCAAAAAGCCATCATGAAAATCTGGTTCACAGGCACATGGGACAGGTTTAGAGCGGAAACGTTGGTTTCGAAAATGTAAACATAAAGTGAAGGTAGAACAAATTTGTCCAGGTAAAGGATCGGGTTCTTGTAGATGTTCCAAGAAAGCTTTTCCACCCAAAACCTGAAGGTAAAGATACCTCCGTGTTGGATCAATATTAGCTGTAAAGTGTAGCAATATATATGAGGAAACTGCCAGAATATTTTAAGGAATGTGATTAAAACAATAGGAAATATTAAATTGATAGAAATAAAACTAAAAGACACATAAGACAATTTTTAAGAATCATTTGTTCATCAGAAGCAAAGATCACATGGAAGTAGTGACCTTTTCCTAATGTTCTGGCTCAAAGAAGGAGCTAGATTCAGATTTTGGGCTCCCTGTTGCTTTTTAAAATGATTGTTTGACATTTTAAGTTTCATCAAACCACCAACTCTCCCCTTAGAGCTTGACAATTATTTGGGACAGACAAATGTATTTAAATCATGTATAGATATTACTTTTAAAAGCAGGTTGCACATCTGATATAAAATGTAGCATTATAACACATGAAAAAGAATTCATTTATTTTGTTTCATAAAATTGGATACTGTCCCCCTACAAAGTAAAGTTTATTTATTTTTGTTGATAATAAAATTTTAACATGTTTTCAAATATGCACTATCAAAGAAAGTATACTATAATGCATAAATATCTAACAGCAACTAAATTAATATGAAGATTAAAATACACACTTTTTTTCAATAGGGTTGATTGCTTATCATTAAAATTAGATGGTTTTGGAGAGGATGTCAGTTCTCCATCAGCTAGGTCCTAGAAAGGGAGAAAAACACAGAAATAAAGTCATTGTTATTTAAGAAAACTCCAACAACTGAGGTTTATGGGATCAATTTCCATTCCTTACACAAAAGGAAAGAATAGCACTTCAGATACCATCAAAACCACTCCTTACTGTGCTAAACGTCACTATAATAAAAAATAAAACAACCTTGTACTTCAATAATATAAAAACCTACTAAAATAATAATAATAATTCGGTAAGATTAATGTACAAGGGTTTAAAAACCAAGTTTTATTCATGAAACCAGCATAATGATTAAGTCTTAAAGTTCTGGAATAAAATTTAAATTTTATCCACCCTACAAACAGAATTTTGATACCTTTCCCGCTATGAATTGATTTTAATTAGGTAGTGATAATTATACTGTAGGAACTGTTATTAGGTTAATTACAACAAATGGGTTTATGAGTCTCAGTCACCAAAAAAGTAAGTGTATTAAAGTACTTAGTCTCTGGTGTATTATCAAGATCATCTCAATTCTTACAACATATTACCAGGTAATTTAGGTCACAGTTTCTCATTTCATTTCTTATTTTTACAAAAGAGGTCTGATCACCATCACTATTGCATTGGGAGCTTGTTATATCATTAAATGACCTATTTTTGCCAATTGACTTTATAGTATCAGAGCAGTTCCTGTATTACTTTTACGTAAAGAAACTAACAGCTTTATTTTTAGTTACTAAGACTGTTTCACAAAAGGGAACTTGATGTCAATAGCTAAATGTATTTGAAAAGTGGACTATAGCTTGACCTTTGGTCTACAAAGTTTGTAAAGTCATTTTATCTTTTTTTTTTTTAAGGCAATTGGGGTTAAGTGACTTGCCCAGGGTCACATAGCTAATGTCAGGTGTTTGGTCTGAGGTCGGATTTGAACTGAGGTCCTCCTGACTGCAGGGCTGGTGCTCTATCCACTGTGCCACCTAGCTGCCTCCATAAAGTCATTTTAGAATCAAAATGAAAAAATTGGTGGTGGTCAGGCTAAGTTAGTAATAGGCTCAAGTCTAGAGATATAAGAATTCAGGGAAGGCTTGTCTCTGATGAGAGATCAAGTTATAATTTTTTTAAAATAGCAAGTTAGGTAAGTATGTGAGCCAAATACAACCATTTTCATAAACATATTTAAAAGATAACAAGAAAAAATTATATCACTTTGGGAGACAGGAATTTTTTACATAATAGCAATACTGTGGAACTACACTAAAATGCTATTTACCATAAAGCAGAATTCATTATAGGTAGGTATTAACTAAACAAGGATGTTTAGTTAATAAAATGCCAAGAAGACCTATTTTAGGGTGGTTTTACTTATAAAGTATCTCCACAACATGAACCTTGGATCCAGTGTTATAGTGAGGTTCCAATGCATTTATAAAAATACAGAGTTGTTGTTTCTAAAAGATTACTCACAGTAACAAAAGTGAGCTCCTTCATGACATCATCTACGATTCCTCGGCGTCTAAGAGCTTTTATTAAATCTTCTGTTGAAAGTTGTTGCTCAGGTGCCAATTCTTCCCGTATAGTTTCAGCAAGGACTTCTCTTATCCTGCCATGGACATCCATCTATGTAGAGAATTTAACATTACTTGTTTTTCTCTTCTCTACAGCAACCAACAAATTTTCAATAGGTATGATGATAGTTTAACATTACTAATAAACAAGTTTGGTTTTACAAAGGGATAAACAACAGTAAAGCAAAAAAAAAAATAACTGGAAAAAATATAGAATAAACACCTAAGTTTGAATCCTGGCCTTTCCACATTAAAAATAAATAGAAGGCTATATAACAATTTGGTTAAAAATGAAGGAATGGTAAAAACAGATTTATCGTTTACTTTTTAAGAATTTAAAGTTCAATACCAATTGACAGAAATATTTACTATCTTTTACTACTTGGAATCTTCATCACAATTTCCCCACTGGCATTTAGCAAATCAAAATATATTCTTTCTCTTGACTTTCAGCATTTCAAATACCAAATTGTTCCTCTAGTGCCAAGGTAGCATCTTCAAGCAATCTCCTTCTAACATTTCTTTGTCTCTTTGTCCCCAACCCACCTAAGCTGCTGCATCTCTCCATTAATCTCTCTGACCAGATGGCAGATGTTTTCAAGTCCTGACTTGCATCCCTTATCTCAGGACTTCACTGCTCAAATTTCGGCAGCACGACCATATAAATCTGATGTTGTTTATGTACACATTGGTCTCTATCTATAACAGACACTCAGAAGTTTTACTTTTGTGGGTCAATCATATAGACCCACATAATATAAGTATGTACAAATATGTATACACACATACATGTTATGTCTGCCTTCTGTAGATCTACCTTGGCCTTTCCATATTATCAACAGGACTCTAAACAACTATTTGCAGAAAATTAAGGACTAGTATAAACTGCTTGTGTTTTGTATTTTTGTATATGCACGCATGTACATACATGCAGACACACACAAAAAACGAGAGTTCCAAAACTCATTCTGACTTTTGGGACACCCTATACATATATATGAATATATATGCACCATTTACGTTTATGTATTTAACGCTGGCTCAGAAAGCTACCACCTATGAGATATGCAATTATGCCTGTTCCTGTAGTTTTCTTACAGTTACCATCTGAGTGACTGGACCCCCCTCGGGTCCTGGGAGCAAACCCACGCCCCGGCTCGCCACGTCCCTGCCAGCGCTCGCCCTAAGCCCCGGACCCGCCGCGAGCGCACGCCCCGGGCTCGCAGTCCTGCCCTGGACAGCTCCCGCTGCTCCGGGATTCGGTTTCCTCCCGAGGTCGAATCGCCAACCGTCCCAACGTTCTCGCCCGGCGCAAACCTTTCCTTAGGCGGCCGGGGAAGAGCCCGTGGCCGGGCAGCGGACGAGCCCCGCAGGGAAGCGGGCGAAGGGGGCTGTCTCCTCCGTCTGCCCCGGGGTCCCGGACCCGGCCACAGGCCGAGCGCGCAGGCCCCGCGTCCCGGGCCGCTGCCCTTACCTTATTGAGCTGCTGGTGGATGAGCTGCTTGAGCTCAGACGCTTTCTCCGGAGGCAGAGACATGGTGCAGCCCGGCGGCTCCACTGCCACTTCCCCTCCCCTTCCCTCCGCTCCCGTCGGGAGCTCCAAACGACCCGCCCGCCGCGCCCCGAAGTATTACGCTACGCCGGGACCCCGGGCGGGCCGCGCGCCGCCTCCCCGCGCAGACTGCCCGGCCCGCGTAAACGCCCTACTCTGGGCGGGAGGAAGGACCGCAACCCAGGCGACAGCGGCGGGCCAGCAACTGCTTTCAAACAGCGGCGGAGAGCAAGGGTGCGAGGGTGCCCGTCGCATTGCCTAATTCCTGCCTGCCTGCCTTTCGCGCGCGCTGTCTTCTTCCAATCCCTTCTCCCCACATGGCTTTCCTCAGTTTCCCCACCTCCGCCATCCACCTCCCCTGATGCGATCCTCTCCCCACCAGTACAAGATCTGGCCACCAGCGAGACAGGCGTTTGGCGCAGAAGGTCCGGCTCCGGGCCGGCGCCGACGGAGAAGAAGGACCCCGCCCCGCCCCTTCCCCCCCGGAGCCGGGAGCTGCGTCCTGGGGCCGCGGAGCCGGCGTGCTACGAACTGCTCGCTTCTTGTTGCGTCTCCTGATCTTCCCGCCCGTCTCGCTTTCCTTCTCCGGCGTGACGATGTTCGTTCCCTGCGGGACGTCAGAGCCCGACTTTACCGGCTTCACCCTGCTGATGGTGAGTCCTTCCCCACCCTTTCTCTCCGCCTTGCGTTTTCGGGGCTCTGCGGGCGCGACGTGCCGCGCTGGGATCAGGAACCTGGTACGTGGCCTACGCGCCTGTGAGCTGTGGGCTAGTCAGGCAGCTAGCATTTATTAAGCACCTACTATATGCCGGGCCCTGTGCTGAGCGCTGGGGATGCGAAGAAAGAAGAAAGGTTAAAAAAGAAAGTCTCTGCCCTTAGGAAGCTTCTGGTCTAAAAGGGGAGACAGCATGCAAACAACCGTATACAAAGAAGATTGAGACAGGAATAACGGGAGATAATCAAGAGGGAAGTCACTAGAATTGGGGAGGACTGCAAAGACTTCTTCTAGAAGGTGGGACTTTAGCTGAGACTCGAGAGTAACCAGGAAAGCCATGGAGGGAGGGTGGAGGAGAGCGAAAATGCGCTGTTGGGCGATGGGGTGCTGCGAAGGATGGACGGCCGAGAAGCTGGAGTCCCTGGATTGCATAGTAAATGGAGGGGAGTTTAATGTAATAGGACTGCAGAGGTGGAAAGGAGCCAGGTTATGAAAGGATTTGATTGCTAAAACAACCTAAACATCTTCCAGGCTCCAGACTCTACATCAGACTCATCTGCAGGTCGTAGGATCACAGATTGAGAGCTGGAAGTATCTTTGGAAGCCAACGAGTTCAAACCCCTCATTTTACAGATCAAGAAAAAGGCTGAATGAGAGAGGTTAAGTGACTTGCCCAAGGTCGCACAGCTAGTAAACGTCTGAGGCAGGATTCTAACTCAGATCTTCCTTATTCCCAAGTCCAGTCCTGTATATGATACACTACGCAGAGCGAAGAGAAAAGAAAAATGTCACCTTGGACAGCTTTCATTTTGTTTGTTCATTTGTCATAGCCTTTCGACATTAGCCACTTGCTGTAATGTCCATTTATTTATGCACTCTCTTTACCCTCTCCTCTTGGAATTGCTATGTTCCTTTAAGGCCCAGCTCAAGTATTGTCTCCTTCAAAAAGTCACTACTGAGCTCCATCCCCAGTTGCTATCTCCCTGAAATTTCTTTGAATTTATTTTGTGTCTTTTTTGTATTTACTTTTGGGGACACCTGCTCTTTCCTCTCCCTTTCCCGATAGAATGTCATATCCATTTAAGTTCCTGCTTAGAGAGGAGTGTTATTTTTCTGTTTCTGTAACTGTCAGTAGCTGTATCATAAGAAGGAAGATAGGATATAAGCTCATAAGATTTCAAACTGGATGAGATGATAAAAGCCATCCAGTCCAATCTTCTCATTTTACATATTAGGAAGCTAGATTTAGTGACTTATTTTAGGTCTTTCAGATGGTAAGTAATAGGGCCAGAATTCAAACTCATCTTTAGACTCTAAATCCAGTGGTCTTTCCACTGCAGACACTTAGGTTTATATTTGTCAGATCAGTTTTTAAGGATAATCATCTCACCTGGGTAGACAAAAAGATCCTCCTCAACATAGCAGTTTAGCTAATTGTGGTCATGCTCCCCAAATCCTTGGTTGGAGGAGAATAGATTGGAAAAAGCCCTAATTTTGGAGTTAGTTTGGTGTCCTTAAGTCAATCACTTAAGCTCTTTGGACCTCAGATTTGTTATCTGTAAAGTGGGAACAGGGGAGCACCAATATTAGATGATCCCTAAACTTCTTTCTAGCTCTAATGTCTTTATCTGTCTCCCTCACTTCATTGTGGCTCTATTTTTTTACTACTCTGGTTCAGTCTTTTGCCTCTACTAAAGTCCCCAATTGGTCTCTCTGTATCCAGGCTTTTACTCTCTCCAATATTGTCCTTTACTGCTGCCAAAATAATCAGTAAGTCAGTTGGTTAATAAGCATTTGTTAAAACACCTGCTATGTGCCAGCACCTGTGCTAAATGGTAGGGATGCAAAGAAAGGCAAAAGACACTCCCTGCCCTTGAGGAGCTCATAGTCTAATAGTGGGAGTCAACAAACAAATATGTACAAGCTAGCTATATTCAGGGTAAATGGGAAATAATTTAAAGAGAGATGGTGTTTGAATGAAGAGAAATTGAGAAAGGTTACTGTAGAACATAGAATTTTAGCTAGGATTGAAGGAAGCCAGGAGGTAGAGATGAGGAGAGAGCATTCTTGGCATAGAGGACAGCCAGAGAAAATGCCCAGATTTGAGAGATGGAGTTTCTGGTTTGTGGAACAGTAAGGAGGCCAATGTGAATGGTTTGAAGAGTGCGTGGTGGGGCAGGAGCGGTGTAAGGTGTAAGAAGACTGGAAAGGTGTGTATGTGGGGAGTAGGGGTAGGAACTAAGTTATGAAGGACTTTGAACATCAGAGGACTTTGTGTTTGGTCCTGGAGGAGGGGGAAAGAAGGAGGTTTGACATAGACTGGCACTTTAGGAAAATCACTTTAGTGGCTAGATGTAGAATGGAATAGAGTACAGAGAGACCTGTGGCCCAAATACCCACTAGTGGGCTATTGCGATAGTCCAGGTATGAAATGATAAGGGCCTGGACCAGGGTGGTGGCAGTATCAGAGGACAGAGTGAGACAGATTCAAGAGATGTTGCAAAGATAACATCAACAGACCTTGGCAACAGATTGGACACGGGGCTGAGGATGACTCTTAGGTTTTGAGCCTGAGGGAAGATAGTTTTACCCTGGACAGTAATGGAGAAGTATGGAACAATAAAAAAATCTTACTGAAGCATAGGTGATTATGTTACTCCCTAGCTCAAAAAACTGTTGTTTCTTAGGTAAAATATATACTCCTTACTTGCTATTCAAAGCTTTCTGCATTGTGGCTCTGCTTGCTTTTCTAGCCTTGTTTCACAATATCTTCCTTCATGTACTCTTTTCCAGTCAGAGTGGACTTCTAGCTGTTTCCCTACCTCTAATTCCATCCTTACTTCTTTTTGGGGGGTGGGGGGTGGGGCTAGGCAATGGGGTTAAGTGACTTGCCCAGGGCCACACAGCTAGTAAGTGTTATGTGTCTGAGGCCGGATTTGAAACTCAGGTCCTCCTGAATCCAGGGTCAGTGCTCTATCCACTGTGCCACATAGCTGCCCCCATCCTTTACTTCTATGTCTGCACAAGATCCTGTCACCTCTTCCCCTGCCCCTCTCATATCTGGAATTCACTTCTTCCTCATTTCCATGGTTCAGAATGGTCTAGCTTTAATCACAAAATCGGCATTTCCTCAGATAAACTGAGACCTGTTAAAGACCTTAGCTTAAAAAGGCCAAGGTGTCCCACTGCATCCAGGGCCATCTGCAATCATGCTGATATATACATATGTGTGTGTGTGTGTGTGTGTGTGTGTGTGTGTATATATGTATATGTGTTGCCACTGGACCCAGAGAGGTCTGGAGGAGCAAGTGAGACCGGTGACTTTGCACAGCCCTGCCTCACTTAAATCCAATTTACTTGTAAGTTGAGACATCACCTTCCTTCCTGATGTCATTGGTCCTCTTCTAGAACTAAGGACAAACAACAGTTTCAGAATAATGGTAAAATATGACAAATGATAACAGGCAGGACTCCTCAATTCCTATTTTGATTCTGTTCTCTTCTCCCCCCCACCTGAGAGTGAACTTTGCCCTGGAAATGAAAGGATAAAAGTGACTAACAGTGCTGATGGCTTAGATAAGTAATGAATAGTAAGAGAACACTTAGTTGTTCTTTCATGTATTAGGGTCTCCCGGTCCGGATGAACTACAGCTTCCATACTGAAAAAAAATGGCAGATGTAATTGCTAAGCCACTGTCAGTATTATTTGAAATATTGTAGGAATGATGGAAGTGCCAAAGGTTTAGAAAAGGGCAAATATTATTCTAATTTTTTAAAAGGGAGGATCTGGGAGGAGAGAACATAGTCTGCTGACTATATAGGCCAGTGAGCTTGACTCTGATTCCTGTAAAAATTTTTGAACATGTTATTAAAGAGGTAGTTAGTGAACATGTAGAAAAAGAAGCAGTGATTGCAGTGACCTTACATAGCTTCATCAAGAATGAGGCATGCCAAGTGGATACTTTATTTTATGCTAATAGATCAGGAGAATGCTATAGATACAGTTTATCTAGATTTTAGCAAAGCATTAGAATTATCATACTAATCTTATGGAAAAGATGGAGAGATGTGGGCCAAAGGATAATACAGTTAGGTAGTTTTGGAATTACTTGAATGACTACACTGAAGGAGTTGCCATTTAATTGTTCTATGTCAGCCTGTCAGGGATTTCTAGTGGATTGCCTCAAGGATATTTGATTAGCCCTATGCTTCAGTATTTTTAACAGTATCTTGGATAAAGTCATAGATTGGATAAAGGCAGTAGATTTGCAGGTGGACTCAAGGCTGGGAGCAATCACTAATACCCAGCTGAGAGAGTCAGAATAAAAAGGGTTACTGATTGGGGCAGCTAAGTGGTGCAGTGAATAGAGCACCGGCCTTGGAGTCAGGAGGACCTAAGTTGAAATATGGCCTCAGACCCTTGACACATATATTAGTAGCTGTGTGACCCTGGGCAAGTCACTTAACCCTGATTGCCTCACCCCCAAGAAATTTGTTTTTAAAAAAAGGGATACTCATAGGCTGGAGCAGAGGAATGAGTGGAAAAGGATTAAATTCATTAGTAATAAATATAAAGCTTTGGTCTTTCAGAAAATCTAAGTGGTAGCATGGTTAGGCCACAGTTTGTCTGAATAAGACCTGGGGCTTTTAGTGAACTGCATGCTTTATGGGTTAGTAGTGTGATATGGCAGCCAAAACAGCTAATGCCATATTGGCTTAGATTTTAAGAGGCAAAAGAGAGAATGGTTCCTTTATCCTCGTTGCACCACATCTGGACTATTGTTTTCATGAAAAGTTCTAGGTACCTGAATTTAAGAAGGACATTAATAATCTGGAGAGAATTCAGGAAGGATAAACAAGATGATGAAAGGCCTTGAGTCCATCCATGTCATATAAGAATTGACTGATGGACCTGAGGCTATTTATCATAGACGAGAGGAGACTCAGGGGCGGGTCGGTAGTTCAGTGGATAGAGCTCTGGCCTTGGACTCAGGAGGACCTGAGTTCAAATGCAGCCATAGACACTTGACACTTACTAGCAGTGTGACCCTGGGCAAGTCACTTAACCCCAGTTGCCTCACCAAAAAAAAAGAGAGAGAAGAGGAGATGAGTTTTCAAGTATCTGATGACCTATTGTCAGCAAAGGTCAGAACCAAGAACAGTGGGTGGAAATTGCAAAGGGACAGATTTAGACTGGATGTCAGGAAAAGCTTCCTAATAATTAGAATTGTCTCCAAGTAAAATGAGCTGCCACAGGAGGTGCTAGGTTCTGCTTCATTGGAAGTTTGCAGGCAGAGCCTGGTTGACCACTTCTGGTGGGGTTTTCATTTTCAGGTGTTAGTTGGACTGGATGGCCACTGAGGGGCCGACTCGGAAACTGTGTTTTTTCCTCAAGGCTCAGCTTAGGTACCAGCCTTCCCTGATACCCTCAGTTGCTGATATTTTCTTCCTTGTCAAACTACCTTGTATTATATTCACTTTGTACATGTTATAACCTTCCAAATATAATATAAGCTCCTCAAATATTGTTTGATTTTTGTCTTTACATACCCTGTACTTGGTGCAAAGTAGGAATGTTGCTAGCTGTGTTATCATGGAAAAGGTGATGAAAAGGGAAAAGTCTGTTAATCTCTTATTTACCTTGAGTTTCCTCATGTGTAAAATGAGGATATAGTATCTACCTTACAGAGATGTTGCAGATATCAAAAAATGTTTCAAGTGTCTCGTAAGCCATAAAGCACTGTATAAACTTCAGCTTTTACTATTAGGAGTTTAGTAAATAACTTGTTGAATTGAATTCAGAGATAGTAAAGCCAAGATTATGCTCTGGAACCATCCAACACTAGCAGGACCAAGTCTGTGATGTGAAGATCGGTCCCCTTCTCTATTCCCATTGCCACTACCTTAGTACAAGTCTTCATTACCTCTTATGTGGACAGTTGCAGTAATGGAACATATCTTCTACCTTGTGAAAAAAATAACAATAACTAACATTTATATTGTACTGTGTGTCAGGAATCATGCTAAGTGTTTTACAATTATCTCATTTTCTCCTCCCAACAAACCTGGGAGGACAGGAACTATTTGATTCCAATGAAGTAATGTATGTAAAGTTTTTTGTAAATCTGAAATTACCACATGCATGCCTACTGTTCTTTCTTGTATCTCCCCCAGTGCCTGGCATGGTACCCTACTCACAGTAGTTACTGAATAACTATTTCTTGAATGAATGGAGGAATTGGTTGTCTTTCATTCTCAGAGAGGACCAAAGTGACATCACTATGCTAGTGTCAAGTTTCAGCGTGTCCGACTGTGGCTGAGGGGAAGCAACATATGGTAGAAAGCGGTGTGTAATGTGAGACATGAAATGTTGTCAAAGTCATTTAAGCCCTGTGAGCCTCAGTATAATGAGGAGTCTAAGGTTTCATTCAACTCTATTATTTGATGATTCCGTGCAGTCTCTTTAAAATCTGAAGATGCTAGGGTCTTGGTTAAAATATTTTTCAGTAGGATTCCTTTACCCCTGTTATAGGGCTTCTCTCAAACATTTGGTGACTTGGAAACACAGCTGCTGAAGGGCACACACATATCAGAAGGAAATTTAGACTTACATTTGTCAGCATATAGGAACAACTACTATCAAATCAAATAAGATAATAATTATTATTTTATTGTCCAGGTTACCCTATGTAAAAAATAAAATGCTAGAATTTTATTGTTAAGTATATGTAAATTATATGTTGCCAAGTTTAGGCCCTAAATTTTTAAAGTATTTTGCTAATTTTAGTAGCTGATCTAATATCATTTTTTGTGATTTCAGCCAGCGGTATCCGTAGGGAATGTTGGCCAGCTTGCAATAGATCTGATTATTTCTACGCTGAATATGTGTAAGGTTGGTTACTTTTACACTGATTGCCTCGTTCCAATGGTTGGTAACAATCCCTATGCAACTGCAGAAGAAAACTCAACGGAACTCAGTATAAATGCTGAAGGTATGTGCATGTGATCTGAGCCTTTATTACTGTAGCTATCGATCATTTAACATTTATTAAGCACCTGCTCTGTGCCAAGCAGTGTGCTAAGTGCTAGGGGCATAAAAAGAGGCAAAAGACAGCCTCTGCCACCAAGGAGCTTTCAACCTAATGGGGGAAAGGACATGCAAACAAATATAGGCAAAGTGAGCTAAATACAGGATAAATAAAAATAATTAATAGAGGGAAAGCACTAGAATTAAGAGGGGTTTGAGGAAGCTTCTAGTAGAAGATGGAATTTTAGTTGGGATTAAAGGAAGCCAGGGAGGTCGGTAGGTAGAGCAGAGGAAGGAGAGAGTTGCTGGCATGGGGGAACCACCAGAGAAAATATCCTATTACACGATATCCTTATTCTTGAAGCATTTGTGCCAACCCTATACCAAATAATTAATACTGAGTGGAGAATTAGGAATAGGCACTTTACTCCTGAAGTAAGCATTAAATTCTTGCCTTGTGTCTAGCATACATCTTAAAAATATTGACCTGTTTAAAAACACTGCTGTTCTTTTAAACCTTTTGAAAATGGTAGCTCTTCTAAAAAACATGTTTATGCTTTTATTTCTATCTTTAATTTGAAATTGTACTTTTTTTAGCTACCTTACATTCTTGTCATTTTTTTCCTCTTCCTACTCATTGATCATTGATTAGACCTGGAAGAGTCCTTAGAGACCATCTAGTCCAAACCTTTCTTTTATAAATGAAGGAACAGATCCAGAGGAGGTGAAATGACCTACCCAAAGTCACACAACTGCAAGTTTCAGAACCAGGTCTTCTGAGTCTTTTGTCTAGTCCGCTAAAGCATTCTGCCTTAAGACACGAATAAGGGAACTGAGGCTTACTGAGGTTAAGTGACTTGCCCATGGTCACACAATTTGTCAGTGTCAGAGCCAGGATTTCAAACCAGGGTCTCTTTGCCCCTATAATTAGCCATGTGCCACTGCTTAACGAATCATTGCTTATCCTGCATTTTTCCTTTTAGCTAAAGGCATTTTAAAACAATCTGAGATGCACATTAATGTCTAAAAACTGAAAGCATTCACAGAAGTCCTGAGGAACACAGTATAAGCCATTAAACATAGTAATGTGTTATCCTGCTAGAAAATTAGTCTTGTTGTTTTATTAGCCATTGCAGTTTTTTCTTTTCAGTATGGGATAAATAAAAGGCCTATGAAATTCACCTGTAGCTTTTAGAATACTTTTACTAAGAACTGATGTTTAAATAAAATGATAAAGCTTTTGTGTGTCCAATATTTTAATAATTGAGGGAAATAATTACATACAGAAGTTTAATGGAATTTAATTTTAATGTTTCATCACTTTAAAGAATATCAATTGTAATTCCTTATTGTCATCAGTTTTTTTTAACCTCTGGTTTCTTTTTTTCTTTTTCTCTTTTGTTGTAGTATATTCATTGCCTTCAATGAATCTGATGGCTCTCCAACTAAGATCAATTTTTATCAAGGTTAGTATTTTTATTATTTGTCTATATTAAAGTTCTTTTTTAAAAAACCTAACTAGAAAGTATCCGGGTCAATAGTCCAGAAATCAAGATTCAAAAATCAGTTGAGCTTATCTTATTATAGGTAATAGACATCTATTCAGCCCATAAGTTTGGAACAAGGCTTTTGCTTTGGGGAATGGTAATATCTTCTAAGTTTCTTCTCTTAGATCTTTTGAGTTTTTAGATCTAAATACCTATTATTTATTGCTACCCGTAAAGAAAAGACAGCAGAGTGAGAGAATCACATGCCTCTATCAATAAGGTCCTGTCTTCTGCTTAATAAAATATAAATGAAAATTGGTCACAGAGAATACCCCTAATTCTTAATCTGTTTCCCTAATCAGCTCTAAAAATGGCATGGTAGAGTGGATGGAGTGTTGGGCTTGCAGTTAGAGCAAGGTTGAAATCCTACCTCAGGCATCTGCTAACTGATTCCTCAACCTCTGTGTTTCTGAGACAGCTCCCTGGGACGTACCTACTAAGTCATAAAGACTTGCAGTCTGCATTGATGGAGATATTTTCCACATCTAGTGTTTGTCCTTTAAACCGACAAAATTGCCTAGCCTTCTGTGATTTCTAATCAGCCAAAAATGGCAGGCCAAAAAGTTATATTTAAGCACTGGAAGACTCTGGTCTTATTGCTGCAGTTACGTTATTATATCACTACAAGTAGAGGAAAGGCAATGTGTTATCTAGAAAAAAAGAGGTCTAGATTTAGTAAGAGGAGCTAGGATATGAATCCTGCCTCTGCTACTTAACCACTTGAATAATCTTGGACAAGTCTCTACAAATTTCCATTTCCTGATATGTGAAATAGCAGATGGGAATATATTAAGTCTTAAATCTCTAAGATCCTTTCTAACTCTTTAAGTCCTGCAGTCCTCTGAATCTTGTAGCAGTTACACAGAGTTAATGGCTACACTTAAAAAACAGGCTTTTTCAGGCAGTCAGTAATGTAAAAATTACCCCATACTTTGTTATTTTAAAACTTTTACCTTTCAGCTGTTTAAGAATGGCAGTTAGCTTGAACTTTCCACAATTAGAAAGTCTACCAGATTATGCTTTTGACTTGTGCTTCTGTCAGGGATCAAGATCAGTGAAAGATGTGAGAGAAGAGTTGGAAGCATTGAAAAAGGATTTTTATTTTATTTTTTAGTGGCTGGAAAAGGATATTAAAAATAATATATTTCTGACCTTTCTGTCAAGTTTTTACTAGCAAGTAAATCAAAAAGAAAAGCAGATTTAGAAATTAAAATATTGAAGAGCTTTTGGCCATTGTTAATGATGGGGGTGTATAAATTGACAACTAAGAATTTCGAAACTGGACTTAATACAAGTTTTCATAGTGTACTAAGGAACTGTTATATATCATTTGATAATTTGTATATAATCACAAACATTGTATATTATCTTTGTTCTGTTTTACAATTAATTTATTTTTCCATAGTACAGATTTGGAAGTTGAGTAATAGAATAATAGGCCACACTGCTTAAAATTTTCTCTCATTTTTTATCTTTAATCTAAGGATAATAAATAGGCTTGCAAATAATATTATTTTTAATATATATAATGATATACATAAACATCATATTAAAAAGGCCTTCCCCAATGAACCAGTAGGTTTTTGCCATGCATAACCAACAAGATCTGATTTTAATGACTTTTTTTCTTCCTTTCAATGGTGATTAAAGTATAAATCAAAGCCGTTCTGTGAAAAGCTCATTTCCTGGGTGAAAAGCAGCAAATGTGCCAGAGTTATTGTTCTTTCAAGCAGTCATTCATATCACTGTGATGACCAGCAGCTTCGTAGGTATGTTGAATCATCCTCTTTCACATAACATACATGTTATAACATTGTAATTCTGTCACCACTGCAATTTTAGTGTAGAAGTTAGTCCCAGTATTACTAGTTGTAGTATTTTAGAAGTTGTTTTAGTGTATCCAACCTACGTGGCAGTGGATAGATTTGAGCATTTACTGTATTTTGATCTCTTCTCACCAGAAGCTAAGAAGAGGAGGCCTGGCCGGGGATATGGCATGAGGTTTTATGTATTTCATAAGATCTAGAGCAAATGAGGTTTGACAGGAGGGGCTGGGTGTCTAGAACTTTTCATTCCTTGCTTTGTGCTTCTGTATCATAGAGCTTAGTATTGAAGGAAAAAATAGACAACTCATAAAAAGGGGCACTTAACCAACGGTGATAGGTGATAGGTAGCCTTTCTGAAAGGCTGGTTTGGTATTTTCTTTCATTCTTACATGATCACTCATCTTCACAGAAGGAAGTTCAATTGACTTTAATTGCAATCCTCTGGAGTATCAGAACGAGTCCTTTAATGTAGGGTAAAGGAAGTACTTAGGAGAACATGACCTATAACATGTTGTCTTTTGTTACCAATTATATACTTTAAAATTATATTTTCCTTATACTTTATACCAGAGGCTAGAGTAGTGACAGAGACGATGAAATGGTGTTTCAGTTTTTTTTAAATTCCTTTTCATTATTTTCTTGTCAGTGTTTTATCTTGAAACAGAAACATTCTCAAATGATAACTTTGTGTCAGAGTACTTCTTCTACCAGAGTAATATAGGATGACTTCTGCTTGTTAATTCAGAAATTTCATTACTTTATCTGTTTTATTTTACCTGTGGAATGAATATGGTTAGCAGGTGAAATTCATGAGCAACAATGCTAACTCTGTTAATCAGAAATAATAGTTGCTTCTACTAAGAAATGGGTCTTAAAGACCAGAATTTTATGCTGAGGATTCTTTTTTTTTTTAAATGGCTATTTTTGGAACAGTTGTCAGGGGGGTTTCGTCTTATTTTTATGCTGTTGAGTCATTTCAGTCCTGTCCGACTCTCTGTGAGCGTTGAGGTTTTCTTGGTAAAGATACTGAAGTGGTTTGCCATTTCTTATTCCAGCTCCTTTTACTGATGAGGAACTGAGGCATACAGGGTGAAGTGACTTGCCCAGGGTCTCACAACTAGTAAGCGTCTGAGGCTGGATTTGAACTCAGGTCCGCCTGACTCTCTATCCACTGTGCCATCTAGCTGCCCTTATATTCATTTTATAACTGGAGCTAATTTCTAAGACTATTACAATATGAAGAATTCATAGTATTTATAAGAAATGGGAGCAGAAGAAGGTAGAACAGTGAAAAAGGGATAAAATTTTAGGATGGTCTTGACTTTTTTTTTGTTTTCCTTCCCCAGTTATGTGTTATTCATAAAGCAGATGACTGCTTTATGTGTGGCCACAAAACTGTTGTGCTTTTAAAAATACTCTACTCTTAACGCTTACTAGCTGTATGACCCTGGGCAAGTCACTTAACCCCATTGCCTAGGGGGGGAAGAAAACCATGAAACAAAAATACTCTACTCTTCCTTGATTGAAGAGATTTCTCTTAATTTTTCAGTTAATAGAAGCCTAAGTAATTGTAGGTTAAATGCTGGTATTACCTTTGTATGTGATATTTGTGGGTTTGTTTTATTTTAACGAGTGTATTAATTATTATCTCCAGCATTCCATTCCGATACCTACTTACACCTGAAATTGAAAAAAGTGTTGGTGAAACACTACAGCAGCTTCATTGGAAGGAAATGGAAAAAAGCAAATCATTTCCTGAAATAGGAGATTCTGGGTTGTGTATCCGTATCCCTGGAGGCGGTATCACAAAAGCCTTGTACACTGAGAGGTGAGTGTATCAGTTGACTTAATAGAAATTTAGAAGAGGTTTCTAGTATGGGCGTGTGTATTAGAAATCATATGCATTTAATTTAAGGAAATAGCATTGAGGGGTATTTAACAGTATTATATTATAGTACCTTTGGTGTAATTAATCAAAAAGTGTTCCCACTTTACCTCGGGTACTTAAGAATCAACTCTTGGTAACAATGTTGAGGGGCAGATGGGCATTGGAGGAAGAGAAAAGTTTTCTTATTTCTTTCTCTTACTTTTTCAGTAACTCACACATATAGTCCTTGAAATCACCTGAGAAGTTTTAGGACATTTAAAACTTAGTCCCATTTAATTTACTTCTTTTTTCTGCCTAATCATTTCATAGAAACTCAGGCCAAGTTGGACACCAGCTAAAGCTGGACTATTAAAATGTAACCTAGGAAAAGTTTACTTAGGTACAGAGTTTGGTCTCCCACAGTGTTCATTCATACTGTATGTCTGGTTTTTTTCCTGTGTTCTTTTGTGGTCTATTCAAATATTTATGTAATACCTAGTATCCCTACTATATAAGCTCTGTAAGAAGGCAGCCATCAGTCAGTGAATCAGCAAACATTTTTTAAGTACCTGTTATGTGCCAGGTACTGTGGTAGGCATGGGAAAGACAAACTCAAAAATAAAAAATCCTTGATTCCAAGGGATTTACTTCCTCTTGGGAGAGATACATATCTATAAAATAACTACAAGGAAATTTGTAGAATATGTTAGCAACTGGGAAGGATGAGGAAAGGCTTCATATAATAGGGATCCCAAGTGTGGGAAGTAAGGAGGAGTGCATTCCAGGTATGTAAGATAGCCAGTTACAAAGACGTGGAGGTGGAAGATGGAGTAGCACATGCGAGGAACAAGAAGCAAGCCAGTTTGGCTAGACAGTAGAGTGAGGGAGAGAATAATGTATAGTGAGACTAGAAGGTTGGACTTTAGAAGGACTTTAAATGGCAAATACAGTTCATGTTTGATCCAAGAGATAAGAGGGAGCCATCTGTATGTAGCAGAGAGTTGGTGTGGTCAGATGCATGTGTGTGGTTATCCTTCCCATTTTAAAGTTACTGATGTAAGATCTTTAAAATAGAACTGCCGGGGGGCAGCTAGGTGGCGCAGTGGGTAGAGCACCGGCCCTGAAGTGAGGAGGACCTGAGTTCAAATCCGGCCTCAGACCAAACACTTGACACTTACTAGCTGTATGACCCAGGGCAAGTCATTTAACCCCAATTGCCTAAAAACTAAAAAAAAAAAAATTTTTTTAATAAAAAAAATAGAACTGCTGCCAGGGAAAGAACTCTCTTAGATGGCAATCTACTGCCATGGTAGCTAAGCCAGTTGAACTGTGGTGATTATGCAGCTCATCTAGCCAATTATGAAGCAACTTAGCTGTCATTAGTTTTGTTTTAAATTAGGAAACACCATGAATGTGTAAAGAGCATGTCATTTACTAAGGTATGGTGCAGAAGTCTGCCCGCTGCTATTTTAAATTTTTTTTAGTTTGTTTTCATTTTTTAAGTAACAAGAATTTTTGTATTAAACTGCCCCTTCCCCTCCTCCCTCTCCATTGAGCAAATTTAAAAAACAAACTCAAAAATCAAAGCCTCAGTACATATCTAATAGTTCTACAAAACAAATTCTCACATTAGCCCTATCTGAAAATGTGTCTCTCTGCATTATAACGTCATCATTTCTTTATCAGGAGGTGAATAGTGTGTTTTATCTTCATTTTTTGGACTTGTTTATTATCACGTTTATTAGAATTCTAAAATCTTTTATTTCTCATGGTATAAATTGTTCTCCTGGTTCTGCTCACTTTGTTCTGCATGGGTTCATAAAGTTCTGAAATTATCTATTTCATCATTTCTTATGACAATAATATTCTGTTACGTTCATATGCCACAATTTGTTTGGCAATTCCTCATTAGGAAAATGCCCCTTTAGTTTCCAGTTTGGGGCTACCGTGGAAAAAAATCTTGTAAATATTCTTAGTTTGATTTTGAAGACTGTCTAGTTCCTTTCTGTGGTCCTGTGATTGGGCATCACATGAGACATGCACACATTCATTCTTGTAGTGGTCCTTACTTCTGCAAGCCCAACACTTATCCATCTTGCTTTTGTAGCTATATTATTATGCTTATCAGTTATGCTTATAGTCTCTGAGTTTTGATTGAGCCATTTTCCTATAGTTCCTGCTTTAGGGAAATTCTGTTTACTTTTATTTTATTTTATTTTTTGGGCTAGGCAGTGGGTTTAAGTGACTTGCCCAGAGTCACACAGCTAGGACATTCTGTTTATTGTGGACAAGAGGGATTTTTTTTTTATATAAGTATTTTTTAATTTATTCCATTACAAGTTATTTTCTTGCATTTAACTGTCCTGTTCCCTTCTGTAGCTTCCCTTGCCACTTTATATTATTAATAACAAAGTTATTCTAATTCATATTCCAATCAATTGATTATAGTGTTTCTGATAATCACAACCTCCCTAAAATTAGTACTAGGTGATGGTCAGTCATGTGGCACGGCTTTGAGACAGGAGTTTGGCTTATCATGCAGCCTGAATATTGGATACCAAAGTCCATATTAGTTTGTGGTATTTATTTGGCTACTTCTGTCACAGCCATTAAGCTTGTGAGTCCCTGAGGACAGGAACTGTCTTTTGTCTTTCTTTGTATCCCTAGCATTTAGCATAATGTCTGTTACATAGTAGGAGGCACTTAATAAATTCTTATTGATCAACTCACATTGGAGAAGCAAGTAGTGATAGTGACATGATTTTTAACTACCTAGTCCTGGATACATAAAATAAGGCTCTTCACCAGAAAATAGAGGAACATATTAAATCATCTGCCTAACAGTTCTTCACTGGTTAAGCTATGGAAGAAGACATGCCAAATTCTGCTTCCCAAATTAGTGGAAAATAACTAACTCTTTCTCTTTGTTGTAGCTGTTCCAAAGGGATACAGATGGCAGTTGTCCTGAAATTTGTTTCAGAAGGAGATAATATCCCAGATGCTTTTGACCTTGTTAGATATCTTAATGATTGGCTTCAAATAATTAAACCTCAGGTAAGTGTTCTTTTCCATAATTTGTCCTCTAATGATGTCTTCTTATCTCATCATTTATTTCATGTACCATTTATAAACTGTTATAAATTGTTGTTGATAATTTGAGAGGGGAGTACAAAAAGTAGTTGTTTCAGTTCATTGGGAAGAGTGAGGTAGGGCCCAGGGGTGGGTTCTAGTTAAGGAGGATAATGGAGAACATTTAATAGTAGAACCGTTTACTTTGGTTGCCTACAATTTGATTTTTATAAGTTAATTAAATGTTACCATGTTTCCATATACAAACCCCAATATTCCCAGCAGCTCTCTTCCCCTCTTGAAGAATTATACTCTTCAGACTTTGTTTCCCCATACATTATTATCAACTAAATGGTTTTTCTCCTTTATGATGGTGTAGCCACTTTAAAACTGAAGACTTGGAAGTTACAATTATTAATGCTAGAGTGAAACTTGCTACACTCTTCCTTTGCCTTTAATTTAATATCACTGAGATGGGAACAGAATTGCTAAGTTTTCTTTTGAACTCCAGATGTTTCAAGAAGAATGTGAAGTATTATTTATGAGAAATTATGAATAAATAGCTGGAAAGCAATACTATAGCTGCTGGTAGAGTTCTGTGTTACTATAAGACACTCCCATCACCATGAAACCTTGAAGTATTGGGGCATGATGGAAAGAACACTGGACTTGTCTAAGATCCTGCCTCTGCCAAGTTTGCCCGGCTCTGTAAAAATAGCTAGTATGTGGTACTTTCAAGTTTGCAAAATGTTTCATGCTCGTTTGATTCTCCTAATAACTCAGTGAAGTAGGTGCTCTCATTATTCCCATTTTACGGCTGAGGAAACTGAAGCAGAGAGGAGTTGAGTGACTTGCCCAGAGTCACACAGCTAGTGTCTTAGGATTTTAACTCAGGACTTAACTGACTGTAAGTCCAGCACTATTCTCTGTATTCCCAGCTGCCTGTATGACCGCTGGCAGTATGGCATAGTGGACAGAGAAACAGTCTTGGAGTCATAGAGATTGGGTTCAAGTGTTGCCTCTGGCACAGACTGGCTGGTACCTCTCAGCAAATCAGTTAACCTCTTAGTGACTCAGACTCCCTGAGTCTTTTGAAGTTTTAGAACAGGTGCTTGGCTTCCTTGGCAGAGAGTGTCTTCATGGGATGTTCCTCATCCAGTGAAATCACAGCTCTGACCTGTGACCACCAGCAGATCACTTCACCTCCAAACTCACATCCTCAAACTGTAAAAAGAAGAAGAATATTTGCATTCCATGGTTCTCAGGATTGTTGTGAAGAAAGCTTTTTGAATAGAGTGCCAGGTCTAGAGTCAGGAAGATCTGAGTTTAAATCTGGTTTCAGATACTAGCTGTGTGACCCAGGGCAAGTCACTTAACCCTGTTTGCCTTAGTTTCCTCATCTGTTAAATGAGCTGGAGAAGGAAATGGCAAATTGCTGCAGTATCTTTGCCAAGAAAACCCCAGATAGAGTCATGAAGAGTCAAGACATGACTGAAACGACTGAACAAGAAGAAACTATAAAGTACTATTGTAATTAGGAAACTTGTGACACAAAAACGTAACGTGAGGAAACATGCTAGGTTTTTAAAATGTCTTATTGCTGTTTCGTTTTTTTACACCATCTGCCAGTAACTCGGCTCCCCCGTCACTCTTTTGAACCCTGCCTTATGCCATAGAAAGGCAGTTGAGAATACACCATCCTAGGACTGCATTTGGATCTCTGTGTAATAATCTGCCCCTCTTTGGAGAGGAAGGAAACAGGCCTCATCATGGAAAATATTTTGTAGAAATGCCTTTTTGGGCAACCCAAAGCCCCATTATAAATATTTGAAAACCTATTTGTGTGTCAAGTTGCCTCCTGCCTAGAACAGAGATTGCTTCAGGCCCTACAACAGCACAGCAGCTTGAATCAGATTTCAGCAAGTTTGGCGGGTTTTGCTTTTTGCTTTTTGATGAGGCGGTTGAGGTTGAGTGACTTGCCCAGGGTCACACAGCTAGTAAGTGTCAACTGTATGAGGCTGGATTTGAACTGAGGTCCTCTTGACTCCAGGACCGGTACTCTATCCACTGCATCACCTAGCTGCCCTTGGCTGCATTTTTAACAGATGGTTTTTAAGCCTTTCTCTTACTGAGAATCCTGCTTAACAAGATCCATCAGCACTCATCAGGACACTGCTTTGTGCTTTGGCCCCATAGTAAGGAATGGGCAAAATCCCCTGAGAAGGGGCTTGATTCACATGAAGAAAGAAAAACATTTTTCCCCTGATGGTATCAGAGCAAACAGATTGGAGACTGAGGAAAGACTGAGGACTCTGTAGTCCCTGCATGTTGGAATGGAATTTAATGTTTATACTTGAAAGTCTAATGTATTTTTGTTTTTAAATCCAGGAGTGCAATGACCCTACAACATCTATCTCCCAGTGGAAAGTGCCGAGCTCTTGGAGATTGCTCTTTGGCAGTGGCCTCCCTCCTGCACTTTTTTGATTACTTGTCACTGCCCACAGTGGCTCATATAATCTAACAATACAGTTATATGTGTCCCCAAGGTTTTGGGGCCATACCTATGAGGAGCTCCTGGTGAGAGGCGTCTTCTTTTTGTGCAGATTTGTGGCTTCTCTGGGACTTGTAGTCTTAGAAAGTGGCATGGGGCACTGAGAGACCAAGTTACTTCTACAGCCAGTAAGAGGAAGACATTGAAGCCAGGTCTTCTTGACTCCAAGGCCAGCCCTCTCTCCAGGATAGCTCTTGTGTCCTGAAATACTAATTACCAAATACAACCATCCAGTAATTTATAAAAAGATTTGTATTATGTCAATATGACAGAAAATCTCAAAGAAACAGAATAGTCATACTGACTTTCATTATATAACAAATATAAATTTTGCAAAATAAACTTTTTCTTAAGAAATTATTGCCTGAATTGTGGTTTTTGGTTTTTAACTGAAAATATTCCTGAGCAAAAAAGAATATATTAGAAGTGGGTGACCTTTTTTTTTTTACTCTTATGTTAAATATTCTGCATTAGGTTCTCTTTTACATGCGCTGAAGATTTGCATACTACTATCACCAACAGAATCCCTTTCTTGATCTGAATTCTGGGCATTTAAGAGTTTCTGTCCTAGGGACTGAAGCTTTAGTTTTACGTACCTCTGCCTTCCATGTTTTGTTACACCTGGCCTTGCTCATTAAAATCTGGCCTTTATTTCCTTCCAGCTCAGTACATATTCATGAGATCAATTGAGGCCATTCTAGAGAAGAGGAATGGGATAAACAGACTTGGGCAAGAATAAGCAATTTCTCTTGGCTTCCCATGGCCTTCAGAAAAGACTTCCCTATGCTACATGAAGTTACCATTGGAACTTAAGGAAATGCAGGCCAATTTTTTAGGCAATGTGTGTTGAGCAGTGATTTGAGAAAGAGTAGGGAGAGAAGTTACAAGATTTCTAGCAGATGAATTAAGCTGGACATGTTCTGTTTCAAAAGTCCTCATCCTTGAAAAACTGATTGCATGAGACATCTGTACATAGAGCTTTGCATGATGACACCTTCCAAAGTCAGCTCTGTGCAGTTGCAATAGTTTTTGACTGTGAGGTAAGTCGTTAAATTATTACATCTAAAGCAACTATTTTATATTTTCCTTGCTGCTTTGCAGAACAGTCTGTGTTCTTTTCACTTCTTTACTCTGATCTGTAGCTTAAAAACAGCTATCATCTTAAACTCTCTTCTTATTCTTGTTTGTGAGCCAAAGTCCTAATCATGACTGGAGAGCATAAGTAAGCTTCTCTTTGATGTATGTGTATTATCAAGAAAAAAGGTCATAAATTTTATAATGAAATGGGTAGGACATAATAGTGAAAGATGTCAACTTATAAAGACCATGAAAGTGTGCCCATAATAATCACCATGATAGTGTTCTAGCTCCTCATATTTTTTTTTATTAGAAAGGCAGAGAGGTATAATGGACAGCGTCCTGAATTTGGGGTCAGAGATTTGGGTTCAAATTTTAGCTCTTACTTCCAGCATAAGCTTAAGCAAATCACTGAGCCCCTCTTGTGCCTGTTGCCTCATCTGTGAAGTGAGAGGATTGGATCAGATGATTCTTAAGGTTCCTTCCAGCTCTAAGTCTGTAATGACTATTATTTGTTACGATGATGTTTTTCTGTTTTTCTTTGCAAATATTAGTTTAGCTGCTCAGATACTCCAGTGGCTCCGTAATCTCATTGGCACAGATAGCATAAAATAGTGTGTTCTCAGTTTCAAATTTACGTGTTTTTCAACATTAATTTCTTAGAGAATATGCCACATAGGATGAAATTTTATTTGGTTGTCCAATTATGTCCTATCAAAACAAAAATTTTAAGTGTTTATTTCCATTGGCTACTGAAGCTATTTTGAGCTATAAAAATTACATTCAGGCATAATTGAAATACATCTAAAAGTTACATTACAACTTCCAGTAGATGGAACCATTGGGCTATATTTACTAATCTGCTATAATTTTTTCTCCTTATAGAAATCGGCATTATTTTGGATACCACCTTGCACCGTGCAGAATGTTATCTCTTAAAAATTGTCTCAGATTGCTAATCTTTTTTTTTTTATTACAGATAATTTCCTTCAGATATTTTTTGTTCTGTTTGATCCTAAATTTATCTGTTTTTAAGGATACTCCTACCATAAATTTATGGGGAAAAGACCTCATGGAAGGAAGGAATATAATTATGCTTGTCTCTTGAGAGGAAGACAAATCAGATGTAATGAAGTAAGATAGGTTTTTTATTTTGCCTCAGGGTGAGGCTTATTTCAGTTCACCTGGCGGTATTTCAATTTTAAATTACACAGAAAAAACTACTTTTCACATCTGTAAAATAAAGGGGGCAGGGGAGAGATTACATCTGTAAGTCTCTTCTGGCTCTAAAATTCTGATTCTATAAAGTGGGTAATTCTTGCAATGGGAATTTGTGCCCATGTTTCTAGGTCTTGCTTATCTAGTCTATTCCATTGATCTACTTCTTTCATCCAGCAACAGATAATTTTGATAATTATTGCTCTGTAGAATAGTTTGAGATATGGTAGAGCCTCTTTCCTACTTTATTTCCTCCAAATGAATTTGTTGTTGTTTTGTCTAATTATAAATAACCTTTTAATAATTTGGTATAGCATTATATAGTTATTTGGGTAGTATCAGAAATAGAGAAATAAACAGAAGTAGAAAGTCAAGTTCAGGAAAATGTTTAAGCATCCATCCTCTGACCCTACTCATATGTTTCTGGTATAATCAATGGGCATAGGCTTAGATTTTGTACAAAAAACTGAGAGCATAGTCAAGTCTGAGTGATTAGCCCTGGCTGGCTTTTGGGTGTGCTGCAGCTTGACCAGCTCAGCCAGATATTGTACCGTATTCTGATATTACATTGGGTAGTGTCATCAAAAACTAAATGAAGGAAGAACACATATTGTGCACAATACAATAAGCAGTTAGATAAGCACCTGTCAGAATCCATTTACTTCTATCTATGTCACAGATACTGCAAACAGACAATAGGTTGGACCTAGAACTGAACAAAAGGAGTAAAATGGACTGGATTGCTTTTGTGAAACTGCAAATTTATTTTAATGACTCCAAGTTTCTCTTTGGAAAAAAAGGTCTTTTTTTTTCTGATGGTTTTATATGACTCAGAATAATGAAACACTACAACCTTTGAAGAATTGAAATTGAGAATTATTTGAAGGGCAAGTAGTTTATAATAATCTCAATTCAGTAAATGTTTATTAAATGCATAATATGGACCAGGCACTGTACTAAGTATTGGGGATACAAATAAGAAAAAGATAGTCCTTGCCCTCAAGGAGGAAGCTAATGGAGGAAGCTTATTCACAAAAGGAAGCTGAAAAGCTGGGGGAGAAGAAGTAATGAGCCACTAAATGGTATGATATTCCCTGGAGTCAAAACAGAGCAGCACCTAGAAAAAGGAGAATTACTTGTAAAGTTCTAAACCTATGAAGGCATTAGGAGGAGTTTAATGTACCAATCTCTATCCCTCCAATCAGAGGGAGAGACAACTGAGGGATTGAGATGGTGCTGAATATCAAAAGCTGAGTCAGTCTTCATGGTGTGGAGATTTTAGGTGATCAGCTTATCCTGGGGGAGGCATCATGTTCTGTGGAGTCTTAACCAAGCAGAGCCACTCATGGAAAATGGAGTTACCTGGAAAATTCCTATAAAGGAAGACTTTACAATAGACTCAAAAAGGTTACAGCACATTACAAACAAGGCATTATGCAAAGCAAAGCAAAGGAAGTCATAAAAAAAATGTGGTTTAAAACATGATGACACTTTTAAGGGGCAGGTAGGTGGCACAGTGGATAGAGCTCTGGCCTTGGAGTCAGGAGGACCTGAGTTCAAATCCAACTTCAGACGCCTGACACTTACTAGCTGTGTGACCCTGGACAGGTCACCTAACCCCGATTGCCTCACCAAAAAAAGCAAAAAAAGCCAAAAAATGATGACATGGCCCCTCCTCCTTCACTGTCTCTCTGATGGCAGCTTCTTTTGGGACCATGGCAAAGCACGTACATATCCTGGGACTGGATTTACAAACAGGCCTCAGATTTAAAGGCCCCTTCACAGATGAAGTCACTATGAATCTTTAGCTTTGAACTGTATCGAGCAGAAAAGTATGTTTCAAATTAAAGGCTACAGCTGAACAGTGGAATTACTGATCCAGCATTGACTAACAAATTCTGTAATGCCTTTTGACTGTGATCCAAATGAGAGGAGTAAACACAAGTTCATAGTGAAGACTATTTTTACTCCATGAAACACTTCAGTTATGGAGGTTGGGTGGAAAAAAGTAAAACTCAATGAAATAATGAATGCCAGATTGAGGTGTGTATTTGGAGTGCCCAGTGAAAATGATAAATTGATCCATGTGAAGCCTAGCAAAACTGTTTCACTGGATGCATCTAAACAAGAGGAACCTGTGCCAAAACTGCATAGTGTTTTACTTATTGATACTGGAACAAGAGGCCGAATGATAGGTTGTAAAGGACATCAGCGTGAAATGATGAAATTATTGGAAGAAAATTGACCGCATGTTTTAGTGTTTGAAATATGCACATGCAGATCAATCTGAATCAAGCTCAGCTATATCTTTTAGTCAGAATGTGACTAATCTTCCTTCACTTCATATAATTGTAGCCATTTTCATTGGACTTTCTAGGGAAATTCATCTTGTTGAGTATAGCGTGGAAAGCTGTTTCTCTTTTTTTTTTTGCTTGACCAGAGAAATATATTTACCTAACGTTTCATTGGTAGCATAGCGTATGGTGACCATTTTTAAAAATGTTCAACATTATATAGACTTTGCCTTTAATGACCTTTCCTGGTTAGAAACAGAGTAAAAGCAAACTGTCTAGCTACTTACTGGACAAATTGTGTATTATCAGAGCAACGATAACAGATGCAAGTGGTACATTCTTAGGGGTTTTAATAAGACTTTAGGAGTTGTTCAGAATCTCATAAATGTTATTGTAATAATCTGGTCTTTGGCTCAAAAGTCTGGTTGGTAGGCATATCACCTGAGAAGGCCATTAACAAAAGAAAAGCTCCACATACAGGTAAATAGTTATGGTAGAATTTTTATGTCTGATCCTTTTTCTCTACAAATTTATTGTGTTCAGATTTTTAAAAAAAAAGGAATTAAGAGCTAAGTGAATCAATGAGGTTCTTATTGAGACCCTAAGAATAAAGTGCAAAGCTTTGGTTTAGACATTTGGTTACAGCTATTGAAGGCACTAAGGGATCTTTAAACTTATTAGAGTTTTGGGCTATTCTGGAAATTTGAGGCTGCTAGAAAAGTAACCTCTGAATAAGTGGAGTGGTATTATACTAAGAATTCCTATTATA